GCTTTGATAAACACTGTCAGACCCCCGAAGTGCTGGTGAAGCCAGCAGAGGCACCCTCCATCAGATGCCCTGCCCTCCCTATACTTCCTGAGCACCTCTCTCATCTTCCGCCTTTGCTGTGATTTTGTGTCCTACAGGTAGTATCTGCAGCTCTTCTTTGCAGGACTTCCTTAGACCAATTAGAACCACATTGTGACAGATGCAGAGAGTTAGAGGTACATCCCCATAGAGCAGGAAGCCCTTAACTTTCAGTCATGGGAGTATGAAAGCCTAGCTCCTCTGCCTTGGGTCAAGAAAATGTTTGGCATCCTGGTCGGTTTGGCTCGGTGGATGGAACGTGGCCTGTGGACTCGGGGGTCCCAGGTTCAACTCTGGTCAAGGGCATGTACCTTGGCTGCGGTCACATCCCCAGTAGGGGGCGTGCAGGAGGCAACTGATCGATGCTTCTCGCTCATCGATGTTTCTAACTCTCTATCCCTCTCCCTTCCTCTCTGTAAAAAAATCAATAAAACATATTTAAAAAGAAAGAGAAAGAAAGAAATGAAATCCGTCAGGAGAGGAAAGAACGATCCTGTGGAAACTTAACTGAGCGTCGGGGTTACCATGGCGACCGCGGAGCCTGTTCCCCAGCCCTGGGGGCGGGAGGGATGGAGACGTCGCTTGCGATTCGCTGTTGCCTTGGAGACGCCCTACGTCATCCGCCTTCTCGGCACTTGATGCTGGTGATTGGTCGTTCCTAGGGGAGGGCGTGGCTTCTGGTCGGCTACCAGGCTGTCCGGGAGGGCGTGGCTTCAGGTCGGGTACCAGGCTGTCCGCCTGCCCCTGTTCAGAGCCGGGGAGAGCCGGAGAGCCCCGCAAATGCTGGCACCACGTCTTCGGGCCCCCCACATCCCGACGGCCAGGTCCCCCGTCTTCGTGACGGATAATTTTCTAAATTCCCGTCTCTAGTTCCATCAAAATCGGATGCCTCCTTCTCCCCCAATATTCGTCTAAAGTCCTTCTCCAACTCCTGCCTCTGGGTACCCCCCAATTCCAGGTCCCCGTTTCTGCCCTACTTGGTGCCTTGCACCCACAAATCGTAGCCACCAGGAATCCGTGTCCGTGCGACTCCTGAAGTCATAGCCTTTTGGTGACGTCTGTATTACGTCAGTTACCAGGGGACCTTTTCCGATTCTGTTCTCCCTTCCATGCTGCAGGGAATGCCTCCTTCTCCCCCAATATTGGTCTAAAGTCCTTCTCCAACTCCTGCCTCTGGTCCACCCCCCCCCCAATTCCAGGTCCCCGTTTCTGTCCTACTTGGTGCCTTGCACCCCCAAATCGTAGCCACCAGGAATCCGTGTCCGTGCGAGGGGGTGGAGATGTCGGCTTGCGATTCGCCGTTGCCTTGGAGACGTCTTACGTCATCCGCCTTCTCGCCACTTGATGCTGGTGATTGGTCGTTCCCAGGGGAGGGCGTGGCTTCAGGTCGGGTACCAGGCTGTCCGCCTGCCCCTGTTCAGAGCCGGGGAGAGCCGGAGAGCCCCGCAAATGCTGGCACCACGTCTTCGGGCCCCCCACATCCCGACGGCCAGGTCCCCCGTCTTCGTGACGGATAATTTTCTAAATTCCCGTCCCAATGCAAGCAGGGTCCCTCTCGTGACGTCTGTATTATGTCAGTTACCAGGGGACCTTTTCCGATTCTGTTCTCCTTTCCATGCTGCAGGGGCAAACCGAGGCTCCGAGGGGGAGCCCCTGTCTGCCTTTGAAGAGGAAGAGGCAGGGGGTGGGGGTCCTCTGGATCCTGCCGAGTGTGAGGGTCCCTCAGTCAGCACCTCGCGGGGGGCATCCCCGTGACCAGGGAGGACCCCCAAGGGCAGGGAGGGTCCCCCTGGGGCCAGAACCCACCCCAGCCCCTCCCCACCCCCAGACTCCCCACCTGCTGCTCTGGTCATGCCCGTGGTTAGGAGGGCAGGGCCATGGGCCACGGGCTGCAGGCAGGGGCTTGGGGTGCAGCTCCTGTGCCTCCTGCCGGAGACTGAGATAGAACCCCTTCCCCAGCCCAAGGCACCCAGAGTCTCTGAGACGCTCTTGGACTTGGGGGAGGGGCAGGGTGAGCCTCAATAATCAGTCAACAAGCAATACAGCTGATGAGCACCCGGGGTGGGCGGGGGGGCCGCTGGGGTCAGATGTTGGCCCTGTTGGCTGAGGGCCTTGGGGTCTGGGTGGGGGGACCCTCCTTGGGTGCTGATATGGGCGCCGGGAGGTGGGGGGCCCCAGGCTCCACCAGATGCCCACCCCAGGCCAGAGGCGCCTAAAGATGAGGTGGGGGTCACTGGGTATGGCTGCAAAGAGGTCGGGGTCCCCTCCACCAAGCCGACTCCCCGCACCCGTCCAGCGACCTCAGCTCAGCGTCAACTCCGGCTCCGGACTGACCCCAGGGCGTGGGGGCTGTTCCCTAGGCAA